CATTGTCTATGGAGGTGGTCAGGCCAGGCAGCCCAGGATGAAACTGAAGAGAGTAGGGCCTTCTCCATCCCTGGCCTTCCCGAGGATCAGCACAGCTTCCTCTTCCTTCTTCTACAGCATTTAGGGTTCCCCATCCTCTACTCAAATTCCCTGGAGCTCACCGTCCTCCCTGGGACTCCCCCTCCCTATATCCTTCAGTCCTAGCAAGTCTTCTCCCTCCAAATCTTACTGTCTGGGAGGGAACCAATAAACAAATTCTGGCCTCTCTGTTAGGCAATGTATTTGCATTTTAACTGGGATTTTTCTGGGGAAAAACTCTTTACTGGGAACAATTCTATCTATTCTGTCAATGTGTAGTCTGTGAGCACCCAAGGCAGGGCAGGTACTATGAAGATACAGGAAACTCTGCCCACAGGAGGATGCCCTGCAGGTCGGAGGCCAACAGAGGCATGGCTGCCAGAGAGATTGCAGACCAGAGAGCAGGCTGGTGCCAAAGATGTTTTGGGGGAAGTAGATTTCCTCAGCATGTTGCGAGCAGCACTATGGACCAGTACTCATGTGTTCTTAGAGACCAGTATGGGGTAGAAGCAGCATGGACTATGGGGTACAAGAGCTGGCTTCAAATCTTCTCTTCTGCTTACTCACTGGGTGACCTTAGGCAAAGGAAGTCACCAAACTCTCAATTTCCTGGGACCAGCAGTTAGTGTAAAGGCTATGTCGCTGGACTCCCACATAGATGACCGTGGTTCGCATCCCAGACCCGGTGGCTTAAAACGCACGCTGGGTGCGTGTGCGTGCGTGCCCAAGATCCCAAGAGGAGAATGGAGGAGAAGGGATTGTGGCGTGGCCATCCCCCCGGGGAGTGATTTCTCGCTTTCTGTCTCTCTGTCTCTCTCTGTCTGGCGAGTGTACGCACCCTATAGCAAACAAACAAACAAACAAACAAACGAAAAAACCTCTGAAAAAAAAAAAAAAACCTCTAAAAAAAAAAAAGAAATAAACTCTCAATTTCCTCATGAGTATTGTGGGGATAAAAATAGTGCTACCATCCTACCCCAGGGGATCCTTATACTAATTGAGACAGGCTGTAACTTACTTACCTAATCACAGCATCCCAGATGAATGTTATTATGAGGTCCACCATCTCTTCCTGAAGGCAGTAGTGTGGCCTTGTGGTAGGGTCTTTGGGGCCTGGCCCTGTGACAAACCTAGGAGTTGTGGGGCTGAGGGGACAGTGGTCAGATGCACAGCCTCTGAGGCCAGGCAGTCGGAGTTCAACTCTGAGACTTTGGCAGGTTACTTAACTTCTCTGGGCCCCAGTTTTCTCATTTAATTAAAAATGATTTTTTTTTAAATTTGCCAGAGGGTGTGTGACCTTACCAAAGAGAGACAGAGAGAGGGAGAGGGAAAAAACATCCCTGAACTGGAAGTGGTCATGCCGCAATCTCTTCTCCTCTGCTTCTCCATCCTGTTGGGATTTGGAGCATGCACACAGCCCATGCATTCACTATGTTTTTCAAGCTGCCAGGGCCAGGATTTGAACCACATATATGGCCACATGAGATGTGTCTCCCTTGACTATTAGCTATGGAGTGGCCCAGTTTTCTCATTTTAAATTGCAAAGGTAACAGAAATCTCTCTATGGGCCTGATGAGAGGTTTGAATACTTGTAAAAGCAGGTGGATGGAGCCCAACTCGGGTTGGCCTGTGTGAGCTGTAGGCAGACAACCTAGTGTATGGAGTCATGGATTGGTGATTACCAGGCTGGGTGGGAGGTACGTGAGTGCTCTGGCTGGCGTCAGAAAATCCTGCTTCACTTCCTAGGAAGACAGCAGTGTAGGAGCAAGGCATGACTGGTATTCCCTAGCTCATTGATTCTCTGACTAATGCTACCATGCATTAGTCACAGATAAAAATGGTCAGTTCTCAGGATATGATGCTTAAAATTTTTTTTCCCCCTAAAACAAGAAGAGGGTCTAAATAATAAGCCAAAGAGCAGGCCATTGAAAAGGAGTAAAACTAGACTTCTACCACCAGTTTCCAGAGTAAATAAAAATCAATGGGTGATAGCTATTATAACATGAATCACATGTATGAGAAACT